GACACATTTTAGACACAATATTGACTGTTTTTGCTCTATTTCGCCAACAAATATAATTCCAATTTGCATCTCTGACATGAGCTGTTTTGTTCCTGAATGAATCAACCGTTTAAATGATTCGGTTCAATCGCAATGACTCACTTATTAACAGTGACTTGCTGCCACCTACTGGCAGTTTTAATTTCACATTTAAAGTATCTTTTCATTTTTTTTAAAAAATAACTTCAAATGTCAATATTCAATGTTTTATGTTTTAAATATCAAAACTATGAATACATTTGTAACTGCAGGTTAAATGCATTCATGTCCTGCATTAAACAGTGTGTAAATGCATCTAAATGCCACTTCTAATGCAGCCTCTGCATTGCAAAGATGAATTTTGTCAATACTGATTTCATTTGCTTGGTAACAGTCCAAATTACTTATTATTCTAATTGACTGATTCAATTTAAGAATTTGACTGAAAAGAGGATGCACACTTTAAATAAAAAGGTTTATAAAGGTAAAAATGCCCATAAAAGGTAAAAAAAAAAATTAAACTTGTTGGAAAAGATTAATTTCTATCACTGCTGTGAACTGATCACCACACAGAATATGCAGAATATCAAAAACTTTAGGAGTCAGCTGTCCCCGGTAGTCCTTAAGATATCAGCACAATAACACACTCAGCAAAATATCGATATCGATCGATAAAATCCCAAAAAATATTGAGATATTTTTTGTCAATATCACACACCCCTAATATATTTAACGTTTTGTTTAGAATTTCTTTTTTTATAAATATGAGAAGTGCCCTTTTTCCACTTGAGCCCCTGCCCCTCAAAATGTCTGTGCACGTCCCTGCTGGGAATAACCAATTCTAATCGTTATGTAAAAATGTAACCTTTTATATCAACATTTAATAAGCTAATGGGCCTGTACGAGCCACAGTTTTCAGGGTCTTTCACTTTTTTTTAAGATAAGTGAAATTACTGCTGTATTCATCACATCAGAAAAAGAGGATTCTTCAAATCCTTTAGAAAGGGCCAAAAAAAATGTAACCACCAAGCTTGTTGTGCAATATCTGAAAAAATTCAACTGGAAAACCATCAGGGCCTGGAGATTTCCCCGGTAGTAAAGAAGAAATATAAAATTTAACTGCTAAGAGAGAGAGGCTTCTAATAATTTGTGCTGTCTAGTGGTTATACCTGGGACCTCTAAATGTAAAAAAAAAAAACTTTTAGACTATATGAATTATCTTCAGATGAATAATGTGCAACATAAAACTGTCTAAAGACATTGCCGATTTCTTTATCAATACATCTTCTCCCCTCTCTATCTCTCACCACTGAAATATAAATTTTACCTTGTCTGTTCCTTATAAGTTTTGCCAACAAACGATTTGATTTATTTCCCATCTCAAACAAGCACTGTCTAGCAAAAATAACATCTATCTCAGCCTGTGATATCATTATGTCATTTAATAATGTCCTAGAGTGCTTTATTTTGGTAAGTATATCTTCCGATTATGAAATATAATACTGGCTTTGTTGTTATTTATTTAGTTATTTATTTATTTTTTGCTTACGTAGGAAATTATCATACCTCTAATATAAGATCCCTAGGAATAATGCTCTCTTAAATATTCCACAAACTGGTCATACATCAAATAATAAGGCTTTAGTTTCCAAAAATTAGAAGCTTTTGGACTACATACTAAGTGGATAGAAATAGTAACCTGGCGTGGTCAGAGATGGTAATGGGACCAATATTTGCTTGGTTGACCTGATGAGCCATATGACATGAAATAAATATATAATCAATACGAGAAGCAGTTTGATGTGGATGAGAAAAAATTACAAGTGGGATTGTGGAACCTCCATATCAAGAAGATTCTGTTCATAACAAGCAACACATATCCAACTAGAAACGTGTGGAACAAAAGTAAATGAAGGTGGTTTATCCATGGTAGGATTAAGAAAGCAATTCAAGTCGCTGTAACTTTTATTCTCGCTGTAGTTTTGTTGTTGCCGCCGCCATGTCGTAAAGACGCTGTGTGCTTCGTTGTGAAAGCGAAACTACTTTGTTTGGTCTTCCAAAAGAGGACGATATCTGCTTCGTCATGCCTGGAGCTGATCCGTGCTGGTTGCTGAGGAAATATTACAACTTTGCGCTGTGGATCGCCAGATCGGTTTTCACCGTGGACGAAGCGGAGTCCAGCCCGAAGTCGTCACATGTCCTTCCGGACGCTCCTTCGTCGAAATCGCCTGCCACCTCTGCTCACTCTAACCCTCCGGCCGTTCCTCACGCTAGCCCCTGGCCTCTGCTCACTGTAGGCCGCCGTGTGTGACGCTGTTTCATTGTGAAAGCGAAACTACTTTGTTTGGCCTTCCAAAAATGGACACGACTAGAAATCAGTGGTTAAGTTGTATTTACAACACCGTTCCAGAACACTTCAACCCAAATATTCAGATGTGTGCAGCACATTTTATGGAGGACTGTTTCCTGATCCTGGGAGAGTAGACTACAATGCCGGCTGTTCTGACTCAAAGACTGTAAGTATGTTTTTTATATTTAAAGAGTTTTTATATTTTATATATTTAAAGCAATTTTTTTGGGCAGTGTAGAGTAGGACTTCAATCCGATCACAAATGCAGACATGGTTTTATGTTTACGCGGCGCGATGCAACGCAACTCGTAAAAAGACAGTATAAGTCATTATAATCCATAATTATGTCCCCACTGGATGCAACGAATGCCTCGTTTATAATGGGTTTTCATGTTTTTGAATCATCGCTCCGGCCTGACAGGACATCATCACAATATGGTGAGGGGCGTAACATTTCCGTCTCACGCTTGAGGTATTCGGCCAATCACAACGCACTGGATAGCTGGCCAATCAGAGCCCACCTCACTTTTTCAGACCGATGAGCTTTGTAAAAATCGACGCGTTTCAGAAAGGTGGGGCATAGAGGAGAAACATTAATGTACAGTATGTGGAAAATAATGTGTTTTTTTAACCTTAAACCGCATAAACACATTTCATTACACCAAATACACAAAATAATGTTCTTTTTAGCAGCATCATATGACCCCTTTAAATACAGGAGTTCAACTGCTGGATCAATCACAGTTTTAGGTCTTCTGATAAGAAATGAGTCTTAGATAGCAAGTGTGAGATCTAAGTGCAGCGTATTTAATGAATACATAACCACAGGCCTCATTTATAAAGCGTGCAAATGCACAGATTTGATCTTAGAGTGTGTGTACGCTTAAATCCACACCAACGATCATATTTGTAAAAACTGCCTTTGGCGTGGAAAAGTGCTTAGCGTCACGTCAGGGTCTGAGCACACATACGCACTTTTTCTTGTCGGAGTACTAAGGGTTTTTGGAAGTGTAAGCTATTCTTGAAGCTTGCTGTTCTATATTAAATAATTTGGATGATGACTGGTGATCTTTTATATGTTAATGACATTAATTAGAAGTCGTTTACAAGGCAGAGAGCTGAAACCATTCAGTTGCGTGCAAGTTCAAGATAATTTGCGATTCATAGATTTCACATCTGAAGAGAGAGGCGTATGTGCGTTTTCTGTGCGTAGCCTACTGCGTACGTTCATTATGAATTACACGCAAATTTGAGAGATGATCAAATTTAAGATGGATTCTGCGCAACATTTTAGAAATGAGGCCCCACAAATGTACAAGAAACTGAGGAACAAGACACAAGATAAGAACTAAGACTAAGATCAAGAACTAATTATAGCTCCAAATGGACAAAACCTGACAATGAACAGGAAACAAGGAACAATAAGGGCCAAATACACGAAGGCTAATATATATAGATTAAGGCTGTCAGTTTAACGCATTAACTTAATGAATTAGTTATGAAAAAATAACACGATTAAAGTATTTTAAGGCAGTTAACGCACTGGCCCCGTCGCCAGATCTGTACGTCATCTTCCATTTCATACAGTTGACTGTTGACAAATATGATGCAGGGCAACAACTCCATAAATGCCGTTATGCCACAAAATTCAAGATTTTGGGGCAAAAAATTGCTAGTTTTTGTCTCATATTTATATCACATAATAAGCCGCACTAGCAGGGAGAGCAATATTACACAAGTGCTGTTTTTGTCATGAAGAACACTAGTGCAAATGTGATTTTATACCACAGTTCAGTAAATAAGAAGGTAATATTGTGTTATATTTTAAACACAATATTGTGTTTTTTTTTCAATTTTGCCAACGAAAATATTACCTATAAAGCCACAGCAGAATTGTTTGAACAAATCGATTCATAAAGACATTTACTGCCAAATGCTGGTAGTTTTAGTTTCTTCTTTAGAGTATAATTTCATTTATTAAAAAATAAATAAATTCTGTCATCATTTACTCACCCTCATGTTGTTTCAAACCTGAATGACTTACTTTCTTTTGCACAACATAAAATAAGTAATTTTGAAGACTGTTGGTATCTAAGCTGTTGGTTACCAGTGACTTTCATTGCATGAAAAAAAATACTGAGATGTTTCTCAAATTATCTTCTTTTATGTTCCATACTTTATGTTAGGCCGCTGTAGCCTAAACATTTAACACAATAATAGCTTTAAATTATATTTTGGGAGTATTTTCACAACCAAATTTAGTTTGAGATTAATTAGAATAATTAACCGCTGCACCCTGTAATTAATTAGATTAAAACTTTAATCAACTGACAGCCCTAATATAGATATGTGTACTCTAAAATACTTCCTGATGAGATGCAGAAACATTCTAACAAATTTTTTTGGTAGTGTGAAACAGCTTGTTACAACAACCCTAAACTAGTCTGGTTTAGGGATGTCCTCTGACTCTGTGTTGAGCAAATAGGATTACTAGTTGTTGGCAGAGATAAAGGAATTCATTTTGGGCCTTGTTTCTGCAGGTTGTTAAGTATCCTTCATGACTATTTACTCAAATAGTAATGAAAATATTGAATACAAAATATATATATATTTTTTAGAGTCCATTTTCATCTTAATCTATGTTTGCCCTAACTAAATCTTCCATCTCTGCAGTGAAAGTAGTTTCCTTCATTTCAGCTCTTTGTTTACAGGTGAGAGGAAGCTCTGGATCAGGACTACACAGGTGACGCCAACGCTGTCGAGACACACAAACACGGGAAAACAACAGTGAGGTAGTACTAAAACTTGAAAGTGGACTAGACATATTCTCTTGGTTAGTTGTGTAGATTAGCATTTACTGTTTCTTGCCTTGTTTATCTTATAAAATGCCAGGGATAAACATGTTTTCCTCCTGACCTGTTTCAGACTCCCTTTCCCAGCAAACAGTTGACCCAGCGCCCATCCAGGCACCAGTACGATGGAGGACAGAGCCAGTAACCAGCCTAGTGCATACGCCCAGTCTGGGTACACATACCAGCGGTTAAAAGTGAGGGGTGTGTACTCCACCATAGAACAGACAAAAGACACCTGAGAATGGACAGAAGAGAAAGAGAAAGAGTGAAAAAGGATGCAAAAGAAAAAAGATAGCAAGAACTGAGTTCAACACTATGGCTAAGAAATGCCTCAGATATTCACAAATATTATAAATTTTAGGACAAAACAGGCCCAATCAGAATGCAGAGACACTCACCACAGATACGAGAGGAGTCAGGTATTTCCAGCACAGCATGAATATATAGTTGGGCCGTGACTTTGTCATGTCTTCAATGATGTCAAACATTCTCTCAGCCCCTGTGGTGTGCAGAAGATTTAGCTTCACTGGCTTTCCAGCATTGACAATGTATTCTGTTGGCTTTATCATGTTATGGTTTTGGCTTGTGTGCGACTCACCAAAAATCCAACCCATGACCAGAGATTCAAACACAGACAGGAACAGTACACAGGCTCCATTACAGGCATAGTAGTCAAACAACTGGAATACATATATCCCCCCCTGCAAGTCACAATACAACATTATAACCAGGGCCAGGTTAAGGTATTGTGGCAGTAATAATATAAAACACAAATTAAAGAAATACAATTGCACAGGCTCTCAGTCTTACAGCTCTCCATGGGAATTTTTAGAAGTTTAAATTGGCTATTTATTATCTTCAATTTAAACATGATAACAAAAATGTTTTTGAACATTGGCCTTTATAGGTTCAGTAAATTTTTTTGGTTTGTTAATTAATTAATTGGTTTACTGTTCATTTTAACATTATGCCTTTATATTGTAGGCTCAGTTCATTTTTTTAGTGTGATAACTCATTTTAGATACTTTATTAATCCCAGAGGGAAATTCAAATTTAGTTCATTTTACTCTCCTCACTCTAAACACAGTTTCTTCTGACCTCTGTAACCATGATGAATTGGCCCAAAAAGCAAGTGAGACAGAAGAGCAGAATGAAGATTTCTCGCCGTCCTTCTCTGCGCAGAATCATGGGGAACAGGTCCATCACTGACGTTGTGACGGCTTCCATTGAAACAAACTTCAAAAGGAAAGTCATATGTATGGAACAACATGAGGGTGAGTAAATGATAACAGAATTTTCATTGTTGGGTGAACTATCGCTTCAGCACACTGAACGCTGGTTTTCCAACTAACACCAAAAGATCCCAAGTGAATTTGGAGCTGCTGTTGTATTTATACTCCATAAGCATGAAAATACTCTAAATAAAATGTTTGCAATTCATGAACCCTGCTTTTTTCTTTGGTCTAATATTTTTGGTCAATGCTGTACACATATTTAATTTTATAACAAAACGTCTCTAGGTTACGTATGTAACCATGGTTCCCCGAGGGAACGAGACGCTGCGTCGAGTCGCTTTGGGAACGCCCTTGCGTGACCGCGTTCTGAAGCACGTGTCAAATCCGTCCAATGGCGCAGCGAGACGTCACGAGCAGGGTGACGTAAGCACCAGAAAGCATAAAGGCACATCCGGCCGGGCGCAAACCAGCTTCGATGAAGTAGCGCCTGCAGGGATGCAGGGAGTATGGCAAAGAGACGCAGCGTCTCGTTCCCTCGGGGAACCATGGTTACATACGTACCCTAGAGACGTTCCCCTTCAGGAACTCGAGCTGCGTCGAGTCGCTTTGGGAACGAGAATATTTCTCTCTCGCGGGGGGGGGGGCCGCGAGAGAGAGAGAGCCGCGGATCTAGCGGATGAGGACCGAGAAAAGGACGAGCCCGTCTCGGATCCCTCCGCTAAATCCACCCGCGATCCCCACGACAACAGTCTGCGCTGTGCCTCGGCAACAGCGGGATCGCGAGCCTGGCCGCTGTCATCAAACGCAGCCAGGCGAGAGCGGAGCGTGCGCAGCGAGAGCTCGCAGTGATGACAATCAGCTGCTCGAAAGCTGACCGTGCATGCTCTGCTCCTAAACAAACGACACACACATCGTGTGTATCCCCTGCCGCCAGATATCGTGGGCAGGGAGAAACACAGCGTTTGTAATGCCGTTCGCTCGCCATAGACTTTCTCATTGTTTTATATATATGAGTGCTTGTGCGGACAGACAACAGTAAATAGACAGACACATACACAGAGCGCTACTGAAGAGCAGAAGCTGGTTTGCGCCCGGCCGGATGTGCCTTTATGCTTTCTGGTGCTTACGTCACCCTGCTCGTGACGTCTCGCTGCGCCATTGGACGGATTTGACACGTGCTTCAGAACGCGGTCACGCAAGGGCGTTCCCAAAGCGACTCGACGCAGCTCGAGTTCCTGAAGGGGAACTATAAATATTCAGTGTAAATATAATTTTAGTTGTACATATAAATGTTAAATCTAAATTTTAAACTAGCATTCAGAAAACTACAATTTTGATTAATTTTATACTGTTAAAGCAAAATTTGTAGTGATTTGCATTTCAAGTTGTTACCACTTCTTAGTCAGTTTTAGCTCACCTGTGTATCTAGCCCCAGCAAAATAATCATGATGAAGAAACAAACAGCCCACAACTGAGGAAGAGGCATCATAGCTACTGCCTGTGGATAAGCTATGAATGCTAGTCCTGGCCCTGTCAGAGACAGTTCGAGATCAGATTTTGAGCAGTACGTATTATTAGTCATAACTTGAATACAGTCTCTGTTTGCAGTATTTCATTAAGCTTTCAGTTCTCTTAAATACATCCAGTGTTTTCATAAAATGTTGCATTACCTGATTCTGCCACCTCTGCAATGGGGATGCCCTGCTCTTGGGCCATGAAGCCCAATACCGAGAACACAGCAAAGCCAGCCACCAAACTCGTGCAACTGTTCAGAACGCAAAGCCACAAGCTGTCCCTGATAGACAGAGTAGTTTATAAAAACACACACGAACAACGTCATTCATTGTCTAGCATTTGCTGCCTGAAAATCACATGCAGTATAAATTTCAAGAATTTCATTTAGCTAATACAACATAACAAATAGTTAATTTGTTCAATTGTTTAACCATTTTATATTCTTATTCTTTGTCATTTTATGGAAAGCATCAATACTAACCTGTAGCAGTTGTTGTTGTATTTATTGTAGCTGGCTAAAACAGTGAGAGTGCCAACAGACACACTATAGGAAAATAAGATCTGAGCTCCGGCCTCCAACCAAACCTACACACACACACATAGAAATTTAAATACAGTAATAGTATAAATGTGTTGCTAGGTACAGAAAAAAACATACTTTTTAATGTTAAAATGTAGTGATACGTTAAAAATGTTAAAGGGGTCATATGATGTTGCCAAAAAGAACATTATTTTGTGTATTTGGTGAATGAAATGTGTTTATGTGGTTTAAGGTTCAAAAAACACATTATTTTCCACATACTGTACATTATTATTTCTCCTCTATGCCCCGCCTTTCTGAAACGCGTCGATTTTTACAAAGCTCATCGTTCTGAAAAGCGAGGTGTGCTCTGATTGGCCAGCTATCCAGTGCATTGTTATTGGCTGAATACCTCAAGCATGTGACGGAAATGTTACGCCCGTTACCATACTGTGATTGAGCAACGAAACAAAAACATTAAAAAACCCATTATAAACTAGGCATTTGTTGCATCCAGTGGGGACATCATTATGGATTATAATGACTTATACTGTCTTTTTACGCGTTGCGTTGCATCACGCCGCGTAAACATAAAACCATGTTTGCATTTGTGATCGGAGAAATGACAAACAACAAGCGCTACTCTACACTGCTCAAAACTCATGTTTGAATCGTCAGTGGCAAATTCTTTAAATATGAAAACGTACTTACAGTCTGTGAGTCAGAACAGCTGGCACTGTAGTCTACTCTTCCAGGATCAGGAAACAGTCCTCCATAAAATGCGCTGCACACATCTGAATATTTGGGTTGAAGTGTTCTGGAACAGTGTTGTAAATACAACTTAACCACTGATTTCTAGTTGTGTCCTCTTTTGGAAGGCCAAACAATGTAGTTTCGCTTTCACAATGAAACACACAGCGTCACACACGGCGGACTTGAGTGACCGGCGGCCGGCGGATTCGACAAAGGAGCGGCCCGGCGGACTCCGCTTCATCCACGGTGAAAGCCGATCCGGCTATCCACAGCACGAAGTTGATGTATTTCCTCAGCGACCAGCACGGATCAGCTCTAGGCATGACTAAGCGGATATCGTCCTCTTTTGGAATTCCAAACAAAGTAGTTTCGCTTTCACAACGAAACACACAGCGTCTCCACGACATGGCGGCAGCGGCAACAATACTACAGCGAGAATAAAAGTTATGCCTTCTTTCTTTGCGTGAACATTTGGGCGGTGTTTTGCAAATATGCAAATATCCCACATTGTGACGTAGACATGTGGGGGCGTGTTTAAACGAGACGTTTTAGGAGGGCGTGGACAAGTCTTTAATTTTATAAAGAATATCGCTTTTGATTTGAGACTTTAGTCTTTGCAACTTTAGGGATCTTATCTATGCACGAACAGCATGTAACACTCCAAAGAGAAAGGAAAATTTGAAATTGCATCATATGACCCCTTTAAATAATAATGTGATCTAGTCATTAGCTTTAGGCTATATGTGGTTGTAAGGTCACATTGGGGTAGAGGGCAGATGCTGGGGTTACCTGCGGATCAAAGAGACGGGCCGGTTCAGGGTACAGGTAAAACACAATCCCCTGCAGAGCTCCAGGAAGAGTCAACCCACGAATCAGCAACACAAGCAGCATCACATAAGGAAATGTAGCTGTGAAATACACCACCTACAGGCACAATTGCAATATTAAATTACTGCCAAAAATCGTTTTTTTATCGTCCTTCTGCCACATAGATGAAAGCAATGTGACAAAACACTACTTTCTTACCAATAAATAGAACTAATTGATTTTTTTTCAGAAAGTAGTACATACAAATAGTGACATTTTTGCACACCTTGCCTGTAGATTTGACTCCTTTCCAGATGCAGAAATAACATATGACCCACATTGCAATAAGACACAGAAGAATCTCCCAGTTGATCCTACCGATCTCCTCAATACCTCCAGAGAGAGAGAGCACTCTGCGTCTGTAATGAGAGAATCAGAAACAATATGCTTTTGTTTTTGGTAGCGCTTTATTTTGATAGTCCACTTTAGACATTCTACTAACTCGAAGTAACTTTAACTACGTGTCAACTACCAGTCATTAGAGTGTTGGTAAATATGACTGCCTGCTAAATATCTGCTAACACTTCATTTTGATGGTCCCCCAAAAGATATCGTTCACAATGTTCTTGCAAAACCCTGTATCACTGTAATTATTTACTCCCAGAACTCAGTAGCTGCAGGTGTTGAATTAATCAGCGTTGTTCGGTTGAGGGTCAAATTCTTTGCAGCAAGATTTACACAGTCATCTAAGAAAAAGAAAAAGAAAAAGAAAAGTGGGAAATTAAGATTTGATATTCAGAAGATGGCAGCAGACAGGTTTAATATTATGATTATTTATTTATTTAGATCATCACCTGTGTTCCAGGTGTTGTCACAACTGGCCCACGGAAGTTGGGAGCTAAAAGAGGAGATGAGGTAGAAAAGCGCCCAAGACAGAATGACGATGTAATACATGCAACTGTAGAGAAGAATCAGTTGTCCTGCATAGCCAATACCTGACAAAAGCAAACAGATACAATGACTAGAAGAGAATCAAAACAAGATTTAAAGGATGATTTACCCAGTTTAAATGAATGCTGGATTCTTTTACACTGCACTTTGAGTTTTGTGTCTTTCTACTGATTATTTATTAAACCAGATGGTTTCTTCCATCAGTCTTTTTCTACTGAAACATACATTCATATTTTTACATGAAGACAATATTGTTAATTATAACAATTAATATTGTTAATTTAACAAAGAAAAAAAGAGAAAAGGAAATAGCTGATATAAAGAGAAAAAAAATGCCACTTCGACATATGTATAAAACTGCATGAAAAAAGTGCAATACAAAAAGATTAAAGAAATGTAATTAAACATTTTATAAAGAGACGTTTTTATAACTCTCACCCTCAGCAAGTGGACAGAGCCGATGCCAACATGTAATACCCCCTTCCTGCGTGTACTGTCCCATAGATGTCTCTAGCAGGAACAGAGGCACCCCACAGGTAACCACAAACACCAGGTAGGGTATCAGGAATGCCCCTGAGTACACACCAATGCAAAAACACATAATTTAAATATCACTGACATAATGCTAAGGGAGTAAGTGTATTGTATATTTAGGTTGCAGCTGGTTTTATACCTCCTCCATACTTGTAGCAGAGGTAAGGAAACCTCCACACGTTACCCAGTCCAATCACATTCCCTGCCACAGCCAGAAGAAACTCTGCTTTACTGCCCCAGTGCCCTCTCTCCTCTATTTGTCCTTCTATTCTGTCCATTCCACACAGTTTTCACACGTTTCCATTGATGTCCAGACTGCACTAATTCTGCAGTGGTGGTTGATGTACTGCATTCTGGTTAGTTTTCTGCTTAACATTAGTTTATTCAAATGTGTCAAGCGATTTATTGACAGATCCTCCCCAGCTGAACTTACAACCACAGTTAAATTTTTAAAGAAACAGAAAATACAGGTAGGCAAAATCAGTAAAGAATGCAAAGTGACTGGTATTAAAACAAGGTTTGATTAAACAGTATGTAAAACCTAAAAAGCCTCCAGTCTAGGAAGACATTCAATGCAGCAGATTTGTGCTTCCAATTAACATTAAACCTAGAAAAACTTTTGGTAATGCTTTAGATTACAACCCGCAAAGAACTACCTAAGTATACTGAATTTACGGTGTACGTTTCTGTAATTATAACATACCTATAAAGAACGTACGTGTAGGTATAAGGGAACAATATGTTTGGGTAATAAGGGGGTAACAACCAGATATGCAACCTGCAAAGAACTGCGCAAGTAAACTGAAGTTACAGCATAATTTTTTGTAATTCTAGGCATGGGCCGGTATGAGATTTTGACGGTATGATAACCTTAAGCAAAAATATCACGGTTTCACGATATCACAGTATTGTCATAGCTAGTTATTTTTAAATGATTGGGTAAAAAAAAAACTTTTTTCTGCAGAACACAATATATTTTGTTTTTGAGCAACATACAGAATATTAGGAACAGTAGAATTTGTTTATTGTTTCTTTGATTTGTTTCCTAAAAAGAAGAAGAAAAAAGACTTACATCTTTATTTAACCTAAATCTGTAATTAGTTATTTATTTTTAGTTATATAATTCAGATGCATATCATTTATATAATTTAGTTATATAATTTCATATACATAATTTGATTCAATAATAACCCAATTTGAAGCAAAAACAGAATGTTCTGACTAGCTTTGTGAAATTATACTACATGCCTGAATGAAACAAACAGCATAAGCTCTCAATAAGACGCATATTCACTCTTTGACAGCAGGAGGCGCTCATGGAACACCAGATACAGCGTTTCCTTGGTTACCGCTGTAAACAAAGCAGCTGCTAGACTCTGCTTTAATATGAACTATACAGAGACAAGATGAAAAGAAAATACCACTTTAACTTTTCTGAAGACAGTCAGTTCCTGTTGTGTTCTTGTATTATTGATTCACCAGAAGAGGGCACTATGGGTTACTAAGTTGGTACCTATAAAAGTTGTAGAAGAATAATTGAATGTGAGCAACCATGTGACATGCAGGCTGTGTTTGCTGTTGGCCTTTGATGCTATAAAAATCATTGCTGCATTAATTACACAGCTTACGAAAATGTGTCAAGTGTCTGTTGTGTTCTTGTATTATTGATTCACCAGAAGAGGGCACTATGGGTTACTAAGTTGGTACCTATAAAAGTTGTAGAAGAATAATTGAATGTGAGCAACCATGTGACATGCAGGCTGTGTTTGCTGTTGGCCTTTGATGCTAATAAATCCTTGAATTGTAACTTCTGGAATCTGACTCTTCATGCTTACCTGGATTTTACCTTTATGAATGAAAGATGGCTGCAGTTGCTTCATTTCCTACGCCATTCCTGCCATGTCCTGGTGAGCCTTCGATACCCTTTGATGTTTGGCTAAAGATGTTCAGGAATTATTTACTGGTCGTTAATGCATCTGGAGATGAATGGCCTGTTGCACGAAAGAGAGCTCTATTTCTTCATTGTTTGGGCACAGAAGGTCAGAGATTATTTTATACCTTGCCAAATCAAGGAGAGACGATGGAGGATGCTATTGAGGTTTTACAAGCATACTTTGTTCCTCGACGGAATGTAATTGCAGAACGGCATGCTTTTAGAAAACGAGCTCAAGTACCTGGTGAAACAGTCCTACAGTATGTAACCTCACTCCGAGATTTAGCAGCCACATGTGAGTTTGGATCAAATCTTGATGAAATGTTACGTGATCAATTAGTAGAAAATGTGACCAGTCATCGTATTAGAGAAAAGTTGTTGTTGGAGACTGACTTGACCCTTAGTAAAGCCATCACAAATGCTACTCAAATTGAAGCTGCTGGTGAACAAGTTAAAAACCATATCAGACCGGAAGGTGGTGCCTGTGCAAGCAATACAAGGAAGGTCTATAGCAGCTGTTGGTCAGTATAAAATTAAATACTCTGCATCTACAAAGCCTTCTGTTTCCACTAAAACCTTTAAGGCTTCTAAGATGACTTCATCAGTCTGTGCATGTTATCGTTGTGGATCAACAAAACATCTTGCAAATGATTCTAGATGCCCTGCTGTTTCAGGAAAATGCCATAATTGTCAAAAGATTGGACATTTTTCAAGAGTATGTCATTCACAACAAACATGCTTCGTACATGAAATTGAATTGCCTGAACTTCAAATTTTGTACATGCAAAATGTGCTAACTGATAAGATTAAGTGTACTGCTACAATCACAACTGCTTCTGCTTCTGTACCTGTGGAGTTGATAGTGGATTCTGAGTCCTCTGTTACCATTTTGCCAAAATTTGTGTACGAGACATATTTTAAGAAAGACTCCTTGCTGCCTCCTTCTGTTAAATTGGTGACTTATTCCCGTGATCCAATACCAGTGCTTGGATGCTTACCTGTTACTGTCACCAAGAATGATGTTAACTGCGAGACTTCCATTTTTATAGTTGAGTCTGGCACTGCTCTTCTCGGAATGGATTTAATTAATGGCCTGCATCTTCACTTTGGAGCATCTTCTGTTCCGATAAAATCTGCTCAACCTCCAGCACATGTGATGGGCCTTTCTGCTTCAGTGCCTGTGGATAAACTGGGATGTGCAAAAGGTTTCCTGCATAAGGTAAAGATCTCTTCCAATGTTGCACCTGTACGTCAAAAACTCAGACGTTTACCATTGTCTGTTCGGAATGCTGTTTCTGAAGAACTTCAAAGTCTTCTTGACCTAGGTGTTATTGAGAAAGTTGATGCATCACCTTGGGTTTCACCAATTGTTGTAGTGCAGAAAAAATCAGAAGGCATTCGCATGTGTGTAGATTTACGAGAAGCAAACAAAGCTGTGATCACGGACAGTTATCCTCTGCCACATATTGAGGAATTGTTGTCTAAGCTATGTGGAGCAACTGTTTTCTCTACAATTGACTTGGAGAGTGCTTATTTTCAACTCTTATTACATGAAGAAAGTCGTGATTTGACTGCATTTATAACACACGAAGGTCTATTTAGGTTTTGCCGTGTACCATTTGGCCTAGCTTCGGCACCTTCTGCATTCCAGAAAATGTTAGCAACTGTACTGCAAGGATTGACAAATGTCGCCCACTATCTCGATGATATCATTGTCTGGGGTCGGACACAGAGTGAACATGATTGCATGCTCAACAAAGTTCTTCAACTCTTGCAGAGTGCAGGACTTCAATTGAATACTTCAAAATGTCAATTCAGTAAGACAAGTCTATGTTTTTTGGGTCATACAGTGTCCGCACAAGGTGTTCATCCAAACGAGGATCATCTTAATGCAATGCTTCATGCACCAGTTCCTACAGATGCACACCAGCTTCGTTCCTTTCTTGGATTAATCTCATGGTACAGCAAGTTTATTCCAAATTTTGCCACTGTGGTAGAGCCATTGCATGCTTGTATCAGGAAAGGAGTTGACTTCAGTTGGTCGGAAGAGGCTCAGAAAAGTTTCAACGCTGTGAAAGAGTTGCTACTTTAAAAGTTCTGCTTTGGCATTATTTGATCCTAGTTTGCCAGTTGTGGTTTCAACTGATGCATCAAACTATGGACTAGGTGATGTACTGGCTCAAATTCATGAAGATAAAACTGAATGCATTGTTGCATTTGCTTCAAGAACTTTGTCAACTGCTGAACGCAAGTATTCAACAATTGAAAAAGAAGCCTTAGCATGTGTCTGGGCTGTCAAAAATTGAGAATCTATCTTTTGGGTCGAAAATTTTTCTTGCGTACTGATCATAAAGCTTTAAAAGTGCTTCTTTCTCTCAAAGGTACAGATCGTGCAGGAATGAGAATTGCACGTTGGGCAGCACGACTCTTATGTTTTAACTATGAAGAAGTTTACAGTCTTGGTTCTCAAAATCGTACTGTTGACTGTCTGTCTCGATTGCATTTACCAGCTTCTGAAGAGGATCTTTCTGATGCAGAACCTGAATTCGTTGCATTTTTGTCTTCTGAGATGTCTGCTATAACTTCAACTGAATATGCTTCTGCCTCTGCATCATGTCCAGAATTGACTTCGTTACGTGCACAAATTGATGGTGGATGTCCTTCTTCGTCAATGGCTGTTAATAAAAAACTACGTCCCTATTTTCAAGTAAGGGATTAAATTAAGTGTTCAAAAGAAATATGTATTCAGAGGAGCACGTCTTCTTGTTCCTGTTTCACTACGGCAGATCTAGGTGAACTTGGCCCATGATGGCCATCAAGGAATTATGCGTACAAAGCAGCGCCTTCGGGAACTCTACTGGTGGCCAGGTATTGATTCTTTGGTCAAAGAAAAGGTCAAGAACTGTCAAGTTTGTGTCTCTTCTGACAAAACGGCTATTGTTTCTGCTGCACCTTTGCAACCTGTACCTTATCCCTCTGGCCCATGGGAAAAAGTAGCTGTTGACATAGTGGGCCCATTTGAAACTGCTACTTGGGATTGTCGTTATATGATAACTCTGATTGATTACCATAGTAAGTGGCCTAAAATGGCATTTACTTCTTCGATCACAACTCAAAATGTTGTTAAGTTTCTGACATCTGTTTTTGGTCGATTTGGAAATCCTCAATACCTTGTGTCTGACAATGGATGTCAATTCCATTCAGTGGAGTTTCCTGAGTTTCTGAAAAAGAGAGATATTCAGCATATATGTACATCAGTCTATCATCCAGCTGCAAATGGTGCCATTGAGAGATTTCACCGTGTGCTCAAGAGCTGTATTCAATCTGCTATTGTGTCTGGGAAGC